CTTTCCCTAAAGAAACAGTCAGTATGGCTGCTGTCTTTGTTGAGTTGTGCTAACGTCTGTAACGTGCTTAGACATAGGAATAAAACATACATGTCTACTGCAATTTGTTTTGTTTTCTTAAAATGTGAATTAAGCTAAAATGTTAGCTTCCATCATAAAAAAAATGCTTTTATACTATATAAATCAGCAAAATAACATTTATTTCTGAAATGCTACGTGGGTTTTGCACCAGCTGAGGACCTAGATTACACATGGGCATATTACCTGTTTTGGTATTTTTGATGTCCTGATCATGGTCTTTCTGTCTTGTTGCTATTCCCCAAATGAGAAATACTTTACATGTAACATGTATCAATATAGTAATTGCATATATTGTTTATCTCTTTATGATCTTTCAAGGTAACATGTGCTCTCTAAAACATAAAAAAGTGATAATTGTGGTTACTCTTTGAAATTGTTTCCTCTACCCAGTTTAATTCAACTATAATGTCTGCCATACTTTTCTCTAGCTTGGTATGCAAGCTTAATACAAGGACAACTATATTGGCAGCAACAAATCCGAAAGGCCATTATGACCCTAATGAATCTGTCTCCGTCAACATAGCTCTTGGCAGTCCTCTGCTCAGCAGATTTGACCTGGTCTTAGTATTGTTAGATACAAAAAATGAAGAATGGGACCGCATCATTTCTTCTTTCATCCTGGAAAATAAAGGTAAGAATGATCTTTTAAAATTATATGTGTTTTTTTTTTCTGTTGCCCACTTTGACCTTAGTTCATTACTGTTCAGTCTTTCACATTAATCAGTATTTACATGTTTGCTGTAGTAGTTGCCTGTGATATGATTCTTTCCAGTAGGAATAAGGTAGAGGTCACTAATTAATTAGTAGGGGTGAGCTGTGAGCACTGCGCCTTTACTTTCTGATCATTTGCAAGAGGTTTCAACCCAAAGTGTTCAGTAAGTGGATGGTTTCCGTCTTATACCTTTACATTCCTTGACGTGCAAATCCTTCACAATACAGTTTTACAGACTGGTAATGGAAAGCTTAGATAGACAGAACAAATCTGAGCCGTACGTGCTGCAGGACTTGAAAAGTGCATGTTAGATCAGTGTTCCATATGTGAAGCTGTGCGCTCTGAAAGAAGGGAAAGCAGCGCAATTTGATTTTAACTAGCACTTTCTCCATGCCTTTTAGGAACGTGGCTTTGTTCGCCCTTAGAGAAGAAGCCGTTAGGGGAAACTTCTTCAGCTAGCCTCCTCCCTTTTTCAAAATGTTTCCCTGCAAAAAATGTTCAGGATATGGCGGGTAGCTTTTGGCTCCTACAGTGTAGGTAAAACAGCTAGAGGAGGTATATATATATTCATGTGATATTTTACATCTCAAAGAATACTAGAGCACTTCATTGACTGTACCATCTTGTGGGCACTAAGTTGGACAGCAATTCTGCTGCAATTACTGGAGGCTTTACTCTGTATTTTGCTGCGAGAGGGATTGGATGGTATGTAAGATTCCACACTGGAATTTGACCCAAGTCCTTGAGGACTAATGTACGGACCACCCAGTACACCCCAAAAATATAGTAAAACACCTTTTTTTTAGTCACCCATTTATTTAACAGGAATTCTTGGGAAAAAGCTTAATGTCTGTCATTGTTATAAAATTACTGACTGGGCAAGTTGTTGTGCAGGTTTTCCCAGCAAATCAGAAAAGCTCTGGAGCATGGAAAAAATGAAAACCTACTTCTGCCTTATAAAGAGTATACAGCCAAAACTGTCTGATGAGAGCAACGTGATCCTTGTACGTTATTACCAAATGCAGCGTCAGAGCGACTGCAGAAATGCCGCCCGAACTACCATTCGCTTATTAGAGAGTTTGATACGCCTTGCAGAAGGTAAGGCCTTGGCAATTCTATTTTTAGGCTAACAATTAACCTTTATAAAATGAATAGATGAAGAGTATAATTATAGCCAGTAAGCAGAGTAGCAGCTTTTCCATAGAGGTAGGGATAGATGAACCTCTAAAGAGCCGTGGGGTTGGAGATTTTGAATGTGGGAAGGGGTGTTATCTTTGGATGATCAACATCAGCTTTAATTTTGAAGTTCTCACATCCAGGGTGCAAACTAAAGCCACTGGAAGAAATTGGATTTGAGAAAAAAGTCTCATAAGTTATATGTCTTTATTAAAAACAAATCTCAGGATTTATTTTATTTCATTTCAATCCAGAATTGCCATCCTACTCAGCCTGAGGAAAGGTGTTAAGTATTTGATTCCATCCTAAAATTAATATAATTTCAAAAATAACACATTTTTGTTTCCTTTAATATCAACAGTCTGGTCTGTATGGTACAATATCTTAACATGGTTTTGTCTTCTAAAATGGCATATCAAGTATTTTCACTGTGAAGTTAAAAGAATATCCAGTATTTTTGTGTAACAAATTATAAATGGCCTTCATGCTTTTTATGCCAATCAGCAATGTAATGCTTCCTACAGCAGATGTTTATATTTTGGTCTCCATATTGAGGAGGAAGTTATTTAGAAAAAAGATCCCATACCTTTAGGGATTCACATGCTATTCGTATGTTAAAGTTTCCTGCATTCATATATGTTTACATGATAGGAGTTTTCAGTAGCATTTTATTTTTCCAAATATTATGCAGACTGTATTAATTAAACTGCTTTTCTCTTCTGGTAAGAGAACTCTGTGTGTTTCCACAGCCAAATAGGATAGCTTCATGTGGTAAATTATTAGCATGATACCCATTTACAAACATCACATTTTGTCTTGGTAACTTAAGAACGGAAAGTAAGAAAAACAATTTTTTTCTAGAGAAAAATGCATTTAAATAGTACTGAATTCGTGACCCAAAGCAATTAATGGAAATTGAATCTTTTCTGATCTATGATGAAAAATAGCCTTAATTTTTGACTTACTGTGATGACATCTACCTATATAGGTAGGTGTGTTTTATGTAACATTTTTCACTGCAGTATCCAACCCTTTACACTCTTTAACTCTTGCATTTTGAGTATCTTTATTCAAGCACTGTCAAACTGCCACTGTAACTATAATCCAGAAGTCACACTACGTACTTTATTAGTAAAACTAGGTCTTCCAATTCATGTGGAAAATTGACACTAAAATCAAGAGGATTATGTTAATGTTTAAATTAGTCCCATACATAAGTGTTTGATGAGCTGAAGAAATCTGAAGAAATATCCTCTCCCTTCTAGTACCAAAAAAATACTTTTCAGCTTTGGTAATGCTTGCTTTCAATGCCTTTTTATTTTTGCTAGCTCATGCTCGGTTGATGTTTAGAGATACTGTGACTTTGGAAGATGCTATAACTGTGGTATCGGTGATGGAATCTTCTATGCAGGTAAGGTTTCTTGTAGAAAATCCTACAGAACCATTTTAAAGGATACAGTTCATCATGTAGGTATCTGTCAGCTCCCTTCATCTCTTTGAAGAAGATTTCATGAAATTGTAGAAAATGAGCTATGAGAGACCTCAGGAATTCATTTTAAGTCCATCTTGATTATTAAAATCCTTAAATACGGATTATACTGAGAGGTCTGGATAGATGGTAGATAAAGGACAGGCACGTGTATTTTTATAGACTTCTTGGTTGAGCTGAAGTTTTGGTGTATTCTCAGCAATCTGCATTTTAAAGACCTTTTGACCCAGAAATTGTGTCTATGTCCTAATTGTGTTTAATAGCTTCTAATGAATTTTTCTTCCATGACATTACCTTGTCACTTACTAATTAGGCACGAGAGAACCAAATAATTATTTTTTGAGAAAGTTTCAGAATAGTTGCTAAGTGTAACACTTTATTTTGCCGTTAGATCATTTCAAAGTATATTGATAGTGATACGGAAACTCTCGGAACTTTTAGAAGGTTAATTTTACATTTGAAACATTAAAAGTTCAAAACGCTGGTTGCTGTACGCTGAAAATCATGCATACCAGTTGTCACACAAATTTGTGGAACGTTTCCATGTAGAAAGACATTGAAACAATGGGGAAGGATTAGGTCATCCAATTAGGTCATTTGGGTGTTAACTATAAATGAAAAAAATGAAATGAATCTGGTAGAGTTTTTTTTATAGAAATATGGGAAATGATATAGACACTACTACTTTAAATACAATGTTTTTCCTGGAAATAAATCTTCATGCTTCAGAGCAGAAAAGAAATTATCACAAGCAGATTATCCAAAGTTTTCTGTAGGGGGCTTTTAGCACTGCTGAAATACTTGGTTTCAGCTCTGTCAGAGATTCTGTACTCCAAAAATTTCCCTATGTTTCTTTAGAAGTTGATATGAATATATTCAAATTAAAGCCATTTCATTTAGTGCCCATTAGCATGATGGACCTTAAAGACTTTGCAGGAGCAGGTACTGCTCTTTTTCTGAGACGAAGCTCTTCAGGATAGACTTACAAAGTCACAAATGGCATGTAGGCACTTGTGATCTGCCTTTTCCTTTCAATAAAGTTTGTGAGAGTAATTGCAGTAAGCACCACTGATAATCTACTGCACGGTCTTATTTTCGTCCTTATTTTATTCCTCTTCTAATCCTCTCCTTTTATTCCTTTTTTCCGTTCCACGCTTTCCCCTCCTTATGCACTTTTACGCCCTCCCACACTTTCCCTGTCGTAATTTTTTTTTTTTTAATTATCTTTGTCCTGGATCTTCTGCACTCATAGTTCCTCAGTGTGCATTTCTGGGAAGACTTTTAATTCCTCTAAGTCCACGAATGCACTATCTGATGGTGTTTTCATTTTGTTGTACCTTCTTGACTATGATGATGATTAAAAATGGTGAGCCTGTGGGTTTGTCCTGTGGCTACCTTACCTCTGCTCAAAGTGATATTTCAGAGGGGTAGATATCTCAGAGACTTAAGGACCAACACAGGAATGAAACATCACGGGTAGTTATCTTAAGTTCAGTCCTGCCCTATGAAGAATTTCAGACATGCTGCACACCGATGCACACAAAAGAACATATAAATGAAACTCATTGTGGCTGTGAAGTAAAGCACTAAACCATCAGGGAGAGCAAGACGTAATTGTACCCCTTAAGAATCTCAAGATGCCTCAAGATACATAATCATATGTTCCTTTTTTTTTTTTTTTGCATTGGATCCTTACCTCACAGACTGACAGTCTTCAATCCAAAAGCAACTATTCCTTGTCTGTGTTTTGCTGAATGTTTTATTTACTACCTGCTGTTCCAGTGCTCTTCTAAGGATAGAACTGTCAATGCCTTCGTATGGTTTTCTGTGGAATCTCCATTGTATCTGAGTGTATCAGAAATATTAATTTATTTATCTTCACATAGCTCTCGTGATTTGATGGGATACTGTTATTCCTGTTCTGTGATTTAAAGCTGACATATGCAAGATTAAGTCCAGAAGAAATTGTCCACTGGAGCATACCTCATGAGAGATGTTCAAGACCTCAGTTTCAGAGTAGTAGCACTTGGAGTGCTTGAGCACGTTTCATATTGACTGCAGTTACCCTTCTGTGCCCACACCACATCACGCTCCCAGTTACAAGTTTATTACCTTTGAAAACCTGTTTTTAATTGGCTTGCTCTGTAGCACAAGAACCAGAACTTAAGTGTCGGAGATAAAATGTAATTCTCCTTGGCAGCATTTAAGTATTCCAACCAAGAGGCTAAAATTTCTGGTCTCTTACTCATTAGCTATGCTCTTTCCAGTTCCTGAAACAAATAAGGCAGAGGGTCCTACAACAACCCTTTCCATTACGACAGATTAATGCTTCTGTGTGGAACAGGTCTGTCACATCCCTGAAAAACATGGTTGTGTGGAAAAAAAGCAAGTGATAATTTAAATGGGCTGCTTAAATGGTTACAGAGGCAGGCTCAATTTAGCACTAAGTAGTTTTAGAAGGCTAGGCTTAGTCACCTGAATGATATTCTTTCAATGTGAGATTTTATAAGACAAAATTTTGAAATTACAAAGTAGAAAAAGCAGAAATTTCCACATATGTCATCGCATAGGCCACACGTTGCCAACAAGGACAGACCTTGAGATTCTGTGCACCTTTGCTTTTCTCATGGCGCTTGATAGGCGTCTTGTTCATTAGTTGCATCTTGTTCATTAGTTGTATTGAGCTTTATAGATTAGACAAGAAGGATAATTGACAGCAAATCCATGACAGAATAAGGCTTTTGTTTTTTCATGAGAGCAATTAACTACAGAGCTATTGTAGAATTTTTGTTGTGGAACAAATCATGTTGTGCGGATGCTCCTTTCCAAATAAAAAATTCTGCTCCAAAATTTCTCACAGGGGGCAGAGAAACTATCGGAGATTAAAATCACTTACAGTCTTGAATTATTCATAAATAGTTAGAGTTATTCAGAAATATATTTGCTGGTCAGTTTCCCCAGCGTTGACAGCCCTGAAACTCAGATACTTCCATGTAAATAGTTAGAAAAAGCTAATGAAAAATTATAGCAGTCATGACCACTTCTGTTACAGAAGTTACTCAAATGGCAGAATTTTTACAAAGTATTTGGAAGCCTCCTTTACTCCTAATACCCAGTTTATTAAAGATGTTCTCAAGCCTTAGGTGGGCTTCCTATTTTTTGTATAAACTTAAAAAAAAAAAACCTGAAGATTTGATCACATAGTTGCTTTATTTGTATGAGCAATTTTGCCCATGTGAGCAGACCTAATGGGATTACTTAGGCAGTACAGTTACTGAATAAATATTTGCTACCTTAAGCTTTAAAATATCTAAGGATAATTTTTGTATAAACTATCTCTGCTGCTTAATTCTGAATAACAAAGTTGCTTTTTTCTCTTTCTTCTGATGGCATAGGGAGGTGCACTTCTTGGAGGCATCAATGCCCTGCACACCTCTTTTCCAGAAAATCCAATGGCACAGTACCGAACACAGTGTGAACTCATACTGGAGCGACTGGAGCTGCATAATCTTCTGCACAAAGAGCTACAAAGACTTGACAGGTTATAATATGCACAGTAACAACATAATTCAATAGGGAAAAGAATTGTTTGACAGTAATATCTGGAGAGAGTCTAAAAATAGAATCTGACATTGGGAAAGGGCTTATCCTTTAGAGGACATGAATAAGCAGGGAGATTGTTTTGAAGTAGTACTCTGAGATCATAACAAGATCATTTTTCACTCTGCGTTATAGAGTTTACAAACAGCTGAAGAACATTTTAATGAGTTCCCAACTCATGTCTCAGTTCTGTGCCCAGATAAGTTTCAGCTGAGCTTATTAGGGCCAATATGCCAGATTCTGTGGCTGAGCACATAATTTTATATAACCTTTCATTACTTGCTTGGTAAAATACAGCAGATCTGCTTCATATTTTTAAGCCTTCTTCTGCATTGGACTTGTCAAGATCCTTGCCTTTCCGTTAATGGAAAGTATAAGCCTGAATCAAAGTTCTGTTCTTTTGGGTGATTTTTCATTTTTACATGCTGGAATTTTCACTGTCTCTACTTGAGTTTCAGGTCACTCCTATAATCTTTGGAAAGTCTATTTGCTGTTATTAATAGAAAACTTTTAACTTACTGAGGCTGAGAGGAGAACACTAGGATTGGAAGGAAATAAGATGCAAAAATAACATTTGTTTCCTGAAATGAGATTAAGCTCTAAAGAAACTCATACTTTCTTATTGTTTAAGGAGGATAAAAGACTGATGTTATTGAAGCTAAAGGAATAGCTAAAGCTATTTTCCCACTGGGAAAATATATTTTTTCGTTGAAATATTTTTCAGACCTGTTTTGTAATTTATAGTAAGCACGTTCTAAATAAGCATAGAGGCAAAAAAGGCAGATGAAAGACAGATATCTCCAACAGACAGACCAAAGCTAGTTTTTAAACAGAAGTGCGTTCATAAAGGAACATAGAAAAGTAGGCTGGGAGGAAGATCAAGAGCAAAGACAAGATCAAGTCTGTCTTTGACCTTACTGGCAGGGGGGCTTGTCTTAGCTGCTCTTAACGCCCTCTAATGAAAGGGGGTTTCCCATTGCCATTGGATAGGCCTTTCATTATTGCTCCATCCTAATACTCAGAAGGGTTTTCCCAGTATCTCCCTGTGCTCCCAGTGCAGCTCCCTGTGCTGCAAATGAAGCTGATTTCTTCTTCCACCTTCCTTAAGCGGCTTAGATAATACTTAATGAGCATCCTCTTTAAAACAACCTATTCTATGTTAGACTTAGAAGTATTTTCTCTTTGAATAAACTTAGAAATAAATGCTGACAATAATGATTCTGAAAGATATATGTCAATGTAGTGTTTTCTCTCTCATACAGTAAAGAAATACGTGAGAAACATTTCACGCACACTGAAATGCAGTCGCTTCCGGGATAGAATGTGACTGCTTTTCATTCATGGTTAGAATAATTATTCAGCAAACTCAGAAGAATGCAGTCTCCTTCGGAAATGGGTGTATGTAGGTTCAGTAGGTAAAATATACCATACCAAGATTGGAGGGAACCCTTTGTTCTAGCACATTTGTTGTTTTGGAGAGGCCCGAGAATATTAATGGGTATGGACAGTGATAATTAGGTTTTGTAGGTAATCGGGGATGCTTTCCCTTTATCACATGGGGCTTTTGGAATGCTGGCTCCATAGTGATTTTGAGAGAAAACCACCAGCAATCACTATGCCACGTAATACCTGGGCTTTACCATTGTGGTAGCTCTTGTGAGGCTTGGCCTTGCTGAAGGTAAATCTATGAGGTTCCCTATTCTAGAAGATACGCTTACAGAATATGTAGTCCCTATTGGACTCTAGAAATGGCTGTCATTGATACAGTGCTGGTTTTTTAGCTTGGTTTCCCAAGGAAATGAAGTTTGTGTAGTTGCTGTCTCTGAACGTACACCCATCTTCTACTGGGGATACTGAATTCTGCCACTTAGTATAGAAGGTGCTGAAAGGTCAAAATGAGGTCAGCATTTGCTACACCAGCATTCATAGCTGTATGTGAGACTTAATAAAAATGAAAGACGCTTTCTTGATTCTTTTTTTCGTTCCATAGATTGCAGAAGGAAGATTCATGCCAGATACAGCCTGAAGAGACAAGTTTCAGTACTACTCCAAGATCCTTGAACAAGGATGCATTTGGGCAACCAAAAGAAGTGTCTCAGACAGAACCTTCAAATCAACAAGAGAGTAACTCCAAGCCACAGTCTTCTTTGGACAAAGGCAATTGCGAAGGGGATATACATCTAGAATCCTTATGCAACCTGACATCTGATAATAACAGAAGTACAAAATGCCTGATTAAACATAGTAAGAGAGTTGAGGATGGTAGCTTAGCATGGTTTGACAGCTTGGAAGAGAACAACATCGATGCTGAAGAAACTTTTCAGAAAAAGTTTCCAGTGCCCAAGATAGCTCCAGATAACTTGGCTTCAAAAACCCTGAGTAAAAAATCCTGCTCTGAAGAAAGAAATGCTTCAATACCAAGCAATGGAGATGGAGCAAAAGAATCACTAACAACTGTGAATCTTCATGCTCCTTTGGAACAGGACAAAGGTTCTAAGATGAGCAGGAAAAGGACTGAAGAACATGAATATTTTTCTTCAGAAGCAAGTATTCAAGACCCAGCATCTTCCAGGGCTAGTGTGCAGGACTCGGTTATTATGCAGCGAGTTTCTAAGAGCTGGCAGAGACTGCATACAGAGAGATCACGTGGATTCTTTACAAGCACACAGGACCCTGAGGCAAAAGCCCGCCCTTCAGTGTTGTCTGCATGTGGTCTTCTAGATCTTTCAGGTGATGTGGATCCTGTGTTAGGGGAGGAAAAGAATAGCAAATCTGTGACAGCAGAAAAGGCAGTAATTTCCATGAGAAAACGAAATACAGGCCAAGTAGTGCAGGAAGCAAAGGTAGTAAGTTCCTGTGAGCCAGAAATCATTGATAGTGAAGGACCTCCAGCAGCTAAACTAGCTAAATTTTCTTTCAGACCAAGGACAAAACTTGATCATTCCTCTGAGAAGAAAAATGCAGAGTTCTCTCTTTTACAGAGTGAAACTATTATTAAGCCTGGAGAGCAGCTCCAAGGAGAGCATCTGCTGGAAGAATATTGTCCCCCTGAGAAATGCAAGACAAAGTCGACTTGCTTAGGAAAAAATAATTCAGGAAAGGGACCCACTGATAATACTGGGAAGGGAGGGCGACAGCCTGAGGCTTTAGGAAGAAAGGGACCCACTGATAATACTGGGAAAGGAGGGCAACAGTCTGAGGCTTTAGGAAAAGAGCTCAGAGGAAGTGCAATGATACACTCAGATGTCAGTTTTAATGCTGCGTCACTTCCAACCACTGAAAAGAAAAGGGAGGAGGAGGAGCAGGTTGGTGGCCCAAGCACAGAGAAGGTGTGCTCTAGCACGTTAGCCAAACTGTCCAGGTTCTCCTTTGCATCACGTCCTGAGTCAAAATCCGAAAATCCACTTGCAGTTAAGGTTGACAGTAGCAACAAGGGAAGCCGTAGTCCATTGCTGAAGGTGCGCGTGAGCAATCCTAGCAAAAGGAAGAGTTTTGCATTTGGAAGTGCCAGTAATGCCACTGTGGTGACACGGAAATCTCTCTTCTCAATAGCAGAGCTAGATGATGCTACATTAGATTTTGATTGGGACGAAGAGATGAGGACAAATCCGAGACCGTAACCTGTATTTTCTCTGAATTACATAACATGTAGTTCTTCTGAATCTCTGTCCTTCTGTCAATGGTATCAACAGCATCAGTAGTTTACAAAGCATTTTAAAATAATCATCCAGGACCTCTGTTTGTTTAAATGAACATACTTCCTTTAAAGGCTATGTACTTTACATCCACTAAGGATTGTATACACTGCAAGCCTGATGTGGCTTTCAGTTCTCTAAATTACTCCCAAGACTGCTTATGTCAGCTGACTGTTTTGATTGACCTGACCTGATGTAACCCAAAGAAGACTCATATGTTTATGTTCACATATCCAGAGTATGGTGAGGCTTGCAGAAGAGCACATCTAATTGACTATTAGCCTTGATTTCATGTAACAGTTAAAACTATAGATGATTCAGACTGGCCTTCTAAGGGATCGTGCCACTTCAGAAAAACGATATAGCTAAATCTATGTCATTATATTTTGTTTCTCTATACATGCCTTTTCTCTTAGTGCAGCAAGCAAACCTGTGATTTTTCATCATGCTGTTGTAAATATTCCCATATTGTCAATATCATGAGAATTTTGCTGCATCTCCAATTACTGTGTTCCTAATCACACTGCTGATGTTGAAGACCCATGTGTCTAGGGCTTTTTGTTTCTGTTTTCTGATTCTGATTTTGATTTTAAATACACTGGTTCAGGTGCCTGTGTCTGTATTCTGGTTGCATATCAAATCCTAACTCTATAGTAAATATGCAGTTCTTCACTGCGGAAAGAGAGAAGAAATTTCAGGTGATTGAACAGGAGTCGTCAGTAGCCAAAGTAACTTCAATGCAGGCCTTTGGCGCTGGCATTAAAGTTACCCTTAAAACTTGACAGCATGGTGAAAAGTTCATATAGTGTTGCTTGGTTCTGGCTCAGATAATGTTTACGTGACTATTTTATTTATGGTTAGTGTTTCACTATACCTGATAGGCAATTCATTTTTGGAGGTATGCTACATCCTTTGTCATTCATTTGTCCAATGTGAAATTAATCTGCTAATGCATTACATGTTTACAGATAATGGTAAGCCTTAAATTTCCTTCAGTGACACTCGTCTGGTGTATTCCTTCTGTATCTGAATTCTCCACAGAATATTCTTGTTATTAACCTGCAAGGTAAACTGAGAATGAAGCAGTTGCTTAAGGTGCAGTGAATCCTTTGAGAGGCTTGCCACCACAGAGGAGGTCTGAATCTCTCTTAATTTGTTTGAATTTAAAAGTAGCTCCCTTGAAATCGGGTGAGTTAAAATAGTGTAAAATTTGATGGAGTGATGGAATGACCAGGCCCACTGAAGGCTCAACTTCAGTGTGAGATAATGAAATCATGAGAAACAGTTATATGTAGGTGGCTTATTGTTAGAGTTTGGGGAAAACGACAGCAAGAAGTTACTGTCCAGATGGTTTGTGTGATAGTCACGGGGACAGTGCCTCCACTGGAACCATGACTTCAATCAAAAGAAGTGAAATTTTTCCTCCTCCCTCCCACAGCCCAGAGCAGCCCCTACCTGTTCCTCCTCAGAGCCCTGCTCCAGGGTGAGGGTGGCCTCCACTCGTTGTGCTCTCACTGTCCTTGGAAGTTGGAAGTTTCCTATGGGATGCTGTATCTATATTGCAGCTGGGGAAGGGTCAAGTCAAGAATCCTGACGCTATTAACAACATTCCTAATGGTCTTCCTGGTTGAATTTTAAAAGGACAACTAAACGCACAGCTTTTTCATTATCATTGCAGCTGCATCAACCCGTTGCATGCTCGTTTCATTTACAACTGAAAATCTTCCTTGCTAGCTTCCTTGCTTTTGACAGATGTTGCTAGTTGGCCAGTGCAAACCCAAAATTGCTAGTGGGTCCCCATAGTCAAGCATCGCTTTTTTACCATGCAGAATGATGTAAAAAAAGATAAATTTCATCCTCTCATGCTTGAAGTATTGTTTCTCTCATCACTTCCCTGTGAGATCATCAGTGTCATCTGATGTAATTTGCTATGTAAACTTACGTGAGGAGCTGCTCCCAGGAACTGCAAGACCTTTTCCTAAACATAGCCCTGTGGTTGACTTTCCTCCCTCTCCTCAGTCAAAATTAGAAGTCTTGAAATCAGTAGTCACAGTGGCACAAAACTGAGGTAAAACTCAAGCTCAAAATTTCCTCCATATTCTCCATACTTACATTGTGCTTGAGAAGGTTCTGTTTTTTATATTCTGCCTATCTCAAAATTACTGCACTGTAGAGATCTGCCTGACAGCCAGGAAAACTGCACAGGGAAGCAGGGTGACTGCATTTCCAGAAAGCTGAAATGCCATGTAATGCAGACAGCCATCTTGCTTACTAGTGAGACATGCAGAGCCTTCTGAGGTAAGGGGGTTCCCAGTCAGCAAGAACTATGAGATGAACTGGTTGAATCCAGATTCTTTTGGTGTCCTTAAAGCTGTTCACAGATCATTGCAAGTGAATAAATGGAAAATGATTACCTGAAGTGTATTTTTCGCAGATGAAAAATGTTTCCTCTGATTCAGTAACATTCAGCCTGGAGTAATGAAGTACTGTGTGTCCCAAAGCTTCTCCAGTGATACAGTGCTAATCACATTTGTGGTCCCATTCAGCAGTCTGGCTGACAAAATGTTGCTAGATGCTTTTTTTATTAATCCCTTCGGAGTTGAAATCTACAAATCAACTCTTTATGCACAACCAGCAGAGCCATGAAGAAGCTAGCAGCTTGATGGAAATGAGATGTCTTGGGACAGGCCAGCTGATGTGCCCAGAGCCTGACTGACACTACCAGTTTGGTGTACTGCCAGACCTTTTGGATACATCTATTCTTTTGCCATAAAGTAGTACACCCAAACAAGGTAGATGTTTTGACATATTTGAACTTAGAGGAGGAGTGATTTAAAATTCATAAAAATATGAGCTCTTCAGCAGGCCGAAATTCTCTGATAGCAAAACAAAAGTTGCAGCAGCTTCCATTGCAGTGTGCCTAGAAAGGGTCTCTGATATTTAGGAGAGAACAAAATCAGGAAGGGTAAAGAAATACCTTGGCATCTCAGCTTGTGCTTACCAAAGGGAGAAATTTGCCCACTTAAACCAAGGTTTTCAGCAATGAGGGCTAACTCTATGCATTCGTTTTTTATGGGTGCCAAATGTAAGACCTAATTTGCAGATGGCCTGAGTACTTACAGCTGAAGCCTAAGTCACTGAGACGTGCAAAGGGCAGTGTAATTCTAATTCTGCTCTTCTGTCTTCATCTCTCTCTTATTCTTAGTTACGAAATGGCCCCTTCAAGAGGTAGTGAGTGCGATACCTTGTGTCCTGGGGGTAAAGAAATCAAGAAGGTGAGGAGGACATCTGAAAACCAAAGGCTTCAATATTTTAACACCTCTCTCTGCTGGATTGCAGTAGAGTTTGTGGCTCCCAAAAAAAAAAAAAACCACCGTAGAGCACATTAGGACAAATTTGAGAATGCAAATGAGGCTTTCTCAGATAAGTGAAGACATATTAATTGTCTACAGAGTTAGGCAGTCCTGCAAAGAGCGTGACTGGGTTGCTCTCCAGCATTTAGGTGTGGTTTTGATATCTAAATTCAAACACATGCTATAGAATTCAGGCAGACTGGATCCTATCATGCTTTTTAGTCCTTTAATGGTGAATCGTTTTTGATGGATAATATTTTCGATAGTACATCAGTAAATAAAGTTATCCCTTCAGATTCTCCTGATTAGAAGTAGTCAGTCCATTTGTGAAACGGAACTGTGCTTCCTCTGCCCTATAAAGAAGAGCAGAGGTTTTGATCCCTGAGGGATCTGCTTCTCTCTTGCTTATTGCAGTCTGAGAAGCTGGAAAGAAAGCAAAAGAAATCACAGAAGGATGCTGCAAACTGTGGCTGCTCTGAGGTCACTCTTCCTGGAAAGACACTTCTGCTGCTCTGTTGTCCAGTTTGAAAGAAAGATCAGGAGACAGGAGCATTCTATTCAGCTTGCAGAAGGGTCCAGCTTTTTTTAGCGGAAAAAGAATTGTTGCCCATTCAAACCTTGCCTGTAAAGAGGAGCTAGTGACCCAAGTGTATTGGGTAAGTAACCAAAGAATAGACTTGGAAGAGAGGATACTACTGAGATCTTTTTCTACCAGACCAGCTGAAATGTTTTTATGGTAGTCTTGCCTCTGATTCATAGCATGAATTCAGAGCGTTTAAGGTAAGTGAGAAGCACATAGTAATAAGAAAATGATACCTGCTGCTGATTTACTTTCTCCCTCACCGTTGCCATTGCTACAGAACACATTTTTCAGTGCCTTGGCAGGGAACATTGCTAACTCCTTTCCTTTCCGTTTTTAAAACAACTTCCTCCACAAACAGACATATGTTTTAATGTTTTTGAGTATCACAATGGCCCAATGATGGGAAGATTTAATCCATTATGGCAGTGACACTCTGCTGGGCTAAACTGAAGATGAATTTCCCCTTCGAGTACTTTGCACAGTCAGTGGGCAGATGAGTCACTTCCTGTGAGCCTGCCTTCCTTGTGAGGCACAGAGCCATTATCTCCTTCACATTTTAACACTTGCCTCTCCGAGTTTATGATCTAAGAGTCTCTAAAAATGTGCCTAATATATCTTCTCAGAGTGATTATATACAAATATATATCAAACCAATTAGTAAGGTCAAATACACTTATTTCTTTTAAGCTGCGTTTTACCTTTATGAATCTGATTGATAAAAGTGAATATATGTTTCTGTCTTAAAACCCAGCTGAACCAAACCTTAGAAGTAACAGATACTAGCAGCCTGTTGATCAGGTCCTTATTTATGAACAGCAGTCAAATACTGTTGTTAGCTCTTCAGTGGCCAGACTCCCGTTTCCTTGGCTGAAACCAGTTTATTATGTAATGTTAGTATGGGACAGATCAGTTTTTTACTGGCAGTTGTCCCATAATAGCGCTCTCCTGGAAGGCCTATGTAAGCATGTTGAAGAGTCAAAGGCAAAAGAAGACCGATAAGCCCAACAATTTAGTTATGTTTTTTGTGTAAAAGTGCTTCATTGTATTGAAAACCTCCTGCATGGCAGTTTTGCTGGAGGAGGCTCTGAGGCACCCAGTCACTGGTGTTCAGTGCCAGCTGAGGTAGCCTACAGTGTATGAGACATTGGCACAGCCTTGGCTGATAAGACATAGGACCTTTGTGGGACCCATGCCCCTTCGGAGGAGGAAGCCAGATAGAATATTCTAAACAATCTAAAATGTAGCTAGATAGCTACCGTTAGGAACCTGAATCATTCCTCATTTGTTAGTACTTGTGAAGGGAGAACTGCGAGTAATTGTTCTCTGCTTTTATGTACCTCAGTGGTCATTTTGTAGACCTCTGTGATGGTCTTCTCACCTCTCCTTCCTAGCTGAAAGCTCCTGTTGCAGGAGGCTTTTTAGAGAGTCTTCCTCTCTGCTCCCCATTTACAGAAAAAGATTGTTGGCCATGCCCAGGACTTATTATCCGAGTTAGATGGTATTGACAGCAGTCTTCATTAAGTAAAAAGCTGTGCTTGGTTACACACCCCCAAGTTATTTCCAGAACTCTGTTGAGGACTTTAGCAGGGTTTTTCATATCTTCAGTTTTTTCTTTTTTTGACAGTGATATCTTTAATTACACCTTCACTCAATGATGACTTCGCTTCCAGAGGAGTCTCAGCATGTCACATATCAGCAACCTAGTAGTTGCCACCTGTTCTTTGTAGGCATCACTGAAAAAGTGACATTCAAGGCAAACAGCATTGCATTCCATAGAGATTTATGTAAAACTTCTCCTACGTGTGAAGACAGTATGGGAAAAAGCAGCTGTTTTTCTGTTCAATTTTTTTTCCTAATGATTTTGACCTCTTTAACTTAAAGCTAATAATCAGCTCTGATCCTTCAGGATCACCTGAAACTCTTTCTAGAGACAGGAGGAGATGTGGGTGTTTAATAGCTTTCAGCACTTAGGTACAAAGCTGTGGTCATGACCTTCTCATAGTCCATTCTCACTTGAGAAAGTTGGCAATGCTCTGCCAGATGTAGCTTCAGAGGGGTATGGCCTGTGACTGCTGCCACTTGTTCCTTACCCTCCCTTTGTCACCTTCCATTTGCGGAGATGCCTCCTTGCCTCACCCCCTCCCTGGCCCGTGATGCCTTCTTTTTCTGCAGCGTAGGACTGCTGTCACTGTCTGGTCCAGCAATGTCAGTGGAGCCCTCCCCAGTACTTCCCTGGGAAGTGTCATCCCTGTTATTTTAAGCACTTCTGGGATTGTTACCTAGTGAG